TTTTTTAATATTGATTTTTGACGTTTTTGAAATTTTCTAAGAAACGTTGGATAAAATTTTTCTAAATTGAAGAAAAAAAAAATTTTACGAGGAATGTCTTTTATGCAAATATAAAAAAAAAAAAATGGCCGGAAAAAGGCAAATTTTGAGCACGTTGTTGCCATGGTAACGGGCTTTCAGGGCAAAAGTAGCAAATTGCAGTGTTCAGGAGAGCATGTGTTCAATAAATTTCATCTTCATATGATGTATAATTTATAAAGTGAAGAAAGAGGAGTTTTCTGGATACCATAGTGTAGAATAATGCAAAAAACCCATAGGGAGTCACCTTAAAATAGTTTTTATATTATTATTTGGCATATTGTAAACACTGGACTGGACTTTGGACTATGGACTTTGGACTTTGGACTTTGGACTTTCGATTTTGAAATTATATTATTTTTAAGATTTTCGTATAATTATATTAATTAAAATCTAAACAGAGAACGAAAATTTGTGCATGATAATAATATTCAAGGTAAAAAATACTATCAGTTATATAGGTATACCAGTGCAATTTCATAGATATAGCCTGTGGGATAACAGGATCATCTCAGTAATATTTTTTATTTAATATTTAAATTTTATTATAATATTTGTATTTATAGTATGTATAGTACAGTTTATACTGCAGAACTTCTTCTTTATCGTATAGTCGGTATAGATAATAGATTTATAGAAACAATTGTGACAAAAGTATCTTGGCAAATACAAAATATTGAGAAACTATCACGTACTAAGTATAAACTACACGCGATTATTATTGCACCTTTGGCTTTGAACAATTATTCGCCAAAGGCGAGGCCGTGATTATCGGGGAATTTGTCAAATTTGACCAATCAACTTGACAACTGGGATTTGTTATATATTTATTCACTTGCGCAAAAATACTAATGACGGTATTGTTCATCTTTGCATAATAGTTTAAACCGGTTTAGCGCCTGCCTAAATAGGCGTAGATAAAAGCCGCGATAGATGTTATATTAGAAGATACATTATATTGAAGATACTGTGCAATATTTCGCATCCAACAGCATACTCGTGCCGGAAAAAATTAGCATGCGTAGCAGACTGTTTTTTGCAGCGGCGGCGGAACATATTTTACTTTTGCGGGGGGGGGGGGCTAAATTCTTTTTTTCGTTATTAAAATTTCCTCCTTCCCCCGTCGCCACTTTTTGTTCCGGACATATAACAAAACCTTTTTGCGGACATATAACAAAAAAATTTCCCGGACGTACAATTATTTAAACAAAATATTGCAAATTTTTCCCCTTATATCCAAATTTTCCAAAAATACCCTAAAAAACAGAAAATTTTTTTTTTTTTTGTGGGGGGCTAAGCCCCC